CAGTAATCCACTATCGAAGCTCTGGTTCCTGTTTGTTTATATACAAGTGAAAATATATTTTTATTAACTAAAAGTTTTCCAAAATCGGGAAATAATTAAATTATTATCTCATTAATTTTAGGCCATAATTTTCGAAGAAGGCTATGATAGTTCAGCAGTTGCAATCTACAAACTCTTGAAACATTTAATTAACAATTTATAAACATCCAACATACATTTCGTTGAGCTTTCAGAGATCGTTGAATATGCACTGACACTACCAAGAACATCGGCACCAATGGAACGCATATTTTCCACCATTAACAGAATGTGGACAAATGAGAAAACTCGCCTATAAGTCAGCAATTTTATTTGTTAAGAAGAATTTAAAATTTTCTTGTTTGGAATTTTTCACTCACTTAAAGTCGCACTCCGAGCATCTTCGAAAAATCAGTCAACGAGAAAAAAACGTCAGACCGAAGACGTCTTCAACAATTCCGGAAACATCGTCCACTTCGACAACTGATATACAAACGTTCGAACCAGACAGTGATTGAATCTTTTAATCATTTTTAATATTAATATGCTTTCTTTTTTAACATTTCCATTCTTTTGAATAAAGTTGCTCTCTCACCTTTTATATGTCGCGATTTTCAGTGAATTTAGTACGGGCTTTTGCCGGAAAAAATATGGTCACCTAACTCTGGACGAATAAAACGAATACTTTATAAGTATGTGAGTAATAACATGTTGCATAGAAAACTGGAGAAAGACAATAACCTATGGTATGCCTTTTGGCAGTGATCCCAGTGATCTGGGAAATATATAGTTATTAATGCGTTAGAAATGGTGACTACCGGATAAGAAAGGGCGATGAGCTACACGAACTTGCAGATGAGTTTTCGCAAGATTTGCGAGATAAATATTTTGTATGAACCATCCGTGAGATATAGAGAAGGCGTAAATCGTAATATCGCTGAATCTTATATTTTAACAAATCTAACGTTATATCAAAACCATTGTTGGGTATTGAATGGTTCCCTTAATAAAACGTTCGCCGTAGATTGTTGCGTGATAAATTAAATATACCTATCCCTAAAAGAACGGAGTCTTGTTTTACAGTTTTTTGTTATGTGAAAATTGCAAGCATGGCTTATTAATTATTCCTTTTAGTGCGTGTCCAAACATTGTGTAATAACCTACAGTTAAACTCGACCCTTTACACCTACAAATACTCCTACATGCACTCAAGTGTGTATATTTGTGTTTTTTATGTGCAAACACCTTAAACATATTTAGGCGCCCGCTACTTACAACAACAGTCACTTACTTAAAACGCCGACACTCTTCTCTGCCACAACACACATGTATGAAAGTGTGTTGGTGTTTTTCTTACTATGAAAAATGCATCGTTGAGGGTACTAAAGTGAGCGATAAACCTGAAAACTTTCAACTTTGCACTTTACATGCAACAAATCAAAGCAGCAAATAAAGTTGGTGTTTGTGCTTTTTATTGTTGTATCGAATTGCACCAAATTATGAGGTATCTAAGCCAGACAGAGATGAACAAGTTTCAAATGCATACATAACTATAAGACAGTGCATAAATCTATGCATAGACATATTTATTTATCGACGCCTGTAGTTGACTTGAACTATTCTTGCTGATGGATTGTTCCAGCGTCTTCGCTTTCGATTTTCTGAAACTTTAGAATCAGCAGATGTTACTCATATTATTATCTATAAAGTTTTTTTGTTGTTGCCAAATTTTTAAATTGATATAATTAAATGCATGCGAAGCAATAAAATGTAAGTACTTGTTTGTATATTAGAATGATAAATATAATGTAGGAGCAGAGAATAGTTTTCGAACATCGCCCATCATTATACGAATATATATTAGGGTGGTTCGATTGAGCTGGTTAAATATTTGTTTCATTCTAACTGATATATTTGGCACCGGTATAACAAAACTCTTGATTAGGATAATATATGCGGCCTACTGAATGCGTTGAACCGATGTTATTTACAGTGTTAGTTCAAATTTAGAGAATTTAGAGATATATGAGAGAGTTATCGAAATAATGATAATATCGAAACGTTTTCTTATGTTGTTCACTTGCGCGAACGGTTCGTTTATTGGAAATCAATTCGTGTTGTCATCCTCATTATATTGATTTAAATAACTCTATATCTATCTCCGTTAGTATGAGGGGTTACAAGCAATATTTACAATGATAAAGTTATTATACATACTCACTTTGGGGTTTTACAATATTTCGATATCTTCATTTTTACTTAATTTATCTATTTCTTCAACGTGAAAGAATTTATGTGCGTGGAAGATATTCCGTTCCGTCTTAAACCTTGTATCGTAAATATTGTTTGCAATGTATTTATTACAACCGGTAGAACCGGTAATTCATCGACTCGAGTGGTATTATACATTTTTGACCATTCATTGTTATTTAGGCTAAGTAAGAGTTGGGATATGGAGCACAAATTCTCTCTGCTTCAATTAGGGTTAGGTTTCACCATCAATCTCAGAGGATAATGTAGTAAATTGTCATAGTATTGAATATAGCAACAACAAAAATAGCAACCCTCCCTAGTGTACGCAAATGCTCACCAAAAACTTGAAATGTGCTCATGCCATTGCCCCATCATTCAGCTGTGACTTATTACTCTAGTGTAAGAATTTGTAATTAACGCGTTAGTTCAACTACATACCGGACTTGCGCCTCTTCAATATCTCTTTTAGCCACCTTCGGTCACCATCGTTAAATGATAAAATTAATTTATTAATCGTGCAATGCTACAAATGTTGTTGCAATGTGTGGAATCTGACTGTATTCGTATTTACAAATTAGCATCTGCCAACACATTGCAAATTGTTGTTGTTATTGCGTTCAACTACAATCAAATTTAAATTTATTACAAACTCCCCAAAGGCATTCGAACTTAGAAGGCTTTATTTGTACAACTAATTGCTAATGATAGTTCTTTAAAATCGTATGTTTTATACCTAATGAAGATGGTACACGCTAAAGAGGCCTCAAGCCACAGTACATCTTTTCTCATGGGACATACCATTCAAACAAAGATTTCTAGCTTATAAGTGGCAATTATATTATTTAAATATTGATTTATTTATATGAAATCCATATATTTACGAAATAATTATTAATGAATTGTTGAATATAATACGGATACAATAATGATGCGCTGACTTCAGAGAAATCATTTTAGAATTTTGTACAGATAATGATTTGATTTATTCTTTTTATTGACAGCTTTATATTATAATGGTCCCTAATTGGCGATTCCGACAAATTTGTAGCCTCTTGGAGACAAAAGGAAGGAAGAAAAATTTTATATCGATATTTCAAAAATTGATGGACCACTTCGCGTATATACAGACAAATTGACCGACATGTCTAAATAGGCTCAGCTCACCACGTTGTTGAAATACATATATATATACTTTATAGGGTCTCCGTCGTTTCCTTCTATGTGTTACAAACTTCGTGGCAAAGTTAATATACCTATTCAGGTTCTGGGTATAATTATGTCAGGCCGTTCATTCATGGAAGAATACATACGAGTATGGGTCAAAATAATCAGTATGACTAGACGAATAGAATTTCGAATGATTGGGACATACAATCTGTCTGTTCATGAGAGCCATTAAAATGTGTAAAACCTGCGATATATTCATGAATTTGGTACATGTGTTCCCTAACACGCTGACGAGTTTGGTTTTTATTGGAAAAAATATAAAGTTTTTTAACTGTGTAAACGTCATGAACTATGTATGTGTTCAGACTAGGACTCTTTTTGTTTGGGTGGCACGCTTTGTGTTTTTTTCCGTAACAGCTCGTTGATCGCAATTTGGCATTACTTTTCATTTTAAATGTTATTACCCCCTTTTTGTATGTAATATGCATATATGAATGGAAATATGCATAATATAAAATATAATGGTAATGAGCGACAAAAGAGCCCCCGTCTGAGGGCTTTTTACAACTGACAGCTGGTTGGAAACTAATTTCGGTAAAGTTTAACATAACTTAACTGGCAGAGGTTGCTAACCATTTTTCAACATGTTGCCGATTACGTTCTGGTTAAGCGCTTAACCAGACATTAAGAAAACGACTAAGTCATAGTGTAAGTGGGTCGATGGGTTATTGGTCGACAATCTGTTTCGTTTCTTACGAAAACTCTTACTAATTGTTCGTATTAAGCATTTGTATAGCGGAAGTTTAGAGTTTGGAAAACGGTTTTGGGTTACAATTAATTGGTTTGGCAATATTATGCACTATATTGGAAGAAAGTAGGGTTCGGTAGAGCTCTTGACGTAACTCGCGCAGCAATTCCACTGTCCATTTTATAGAAGATTTTGCGGAATGATCTTGGTTTGTGCGCTTACAAAAACCCACTCATGCAAATATTGAAGCCGAACTACCATCAAAACGAGAGGGCCACCGATATTGATTTTCAAAAGAAAATTTTGTTCAGCGATGAAGCTTGAAGTTGTTTAAGTAGCTATTTGGGTACGCCGCAAAATTTTATCATGTAGTCTATACCAAAAGAGTTGTGCTATTTTCTTTAACAAAGGACTTCACCCTAAATTTCGTCGGTTTAAATGTCTATTATGGACAGAAAGATTCATAGTTATTGACCAGTTTTGTTGAAACTGGCATTGCTGCGATTAAAACCCACAAATACAATATTAACATTGGTTTTGTTCAAACTTTCATCTTGACTAAAATTCAAATCATGACAACTTACAACTATACAAGTACTTGGAACCCAACACTGCAGAGTTTAAAAGTTACTGATGTAAAATTAGCCTTCCGTATTCAGGAAATGCTATTAACAAATGTCAAAATTGTTAAGCATATATTTTGAAAAGTTCAAATAATTAGAAAAACTTTTTTCCCCTTAACCTTGCCAAATGCTTCTATAATGGTTTTGTGACATTGAGTTAGAAATTTAAAATAGGAAAATACAGAAAAATATTTAATTTTTCGAACATGGTTTTATTCGTTCATTTACACATCTTGTTTTTCCTAAATACGAGTACATAGAAATCATTACAATTAAAATGAAAAAGAAAACAGTTATGTTAACACAAATGGAAACGGTAAATAAAACATCAAACAGATACTTATTTATATACAGAAAAATTATAGGCTAAACATTCACAGAAAAATATAGTTTTATAACGATACGTTCTTTTCTCTTCTTCTTCACTAGCCATTTAAAATATTCACTTTCTTAAACGAATTATCATTATAATGGTTTATACAAATATTTATGTACACAAGTTTGTTTATAGTAAATTAGAATGTATGTATAGTGGGTGGATTTATTTAACAGATGAACTGAAGATACGAGTGATTGAGAAAAGCAGCTTTAGCTTGCGAAAATAAATTAACGCTAAAGAGGCACATTTTGTAGATAAGGACCTAAATTTACTGACGCAAATTTAAGTAAGTGCGCACTTATGAGTATTTAGGTGTATAATGGGCAGCGTATTTTGGAATAGCGTCAGCGTATTGTGGAGGGCGATCGTCTCGAGGTTTGATATCAACACCGACATTTTAATAATTATAGCCGGTTTGTGGATTGAATTCACCACTCCCATGCCGACCGGGAGCACCTGGTCCACCCCCGGGAGCGCCACCTGCAGCTGGTGGCACGTACTGTGTACCAGGTCCACCAGCTCCACCGCGACCACCACCAAAACCACCAGCGCCAGCGCCAGGGCCACCACCGCCGCGTCCACCGGGACCACCAGCACCGCCTCCAAAACCGGGTGCACCACCAGCACCGCCACCAAATCCAGGCGCGCCAGCACCACCACCATAACCTCCTTGACCACCGGCTCCACCAGTTCCACGACCTCCAGCTCCACCGCCGAAGCCAGGTGCAGCACCACCAGTTCCAGGTCTTCCAGCACTACCACCAAAACCAGGTGCACCACCAGCACCAGAACCACCGCCATAACCACCAGCTCCTGGACCTACCGGACCACGACCACCAGCACCGCCTCCAAAGCCAGGTGCACCGCCAGTGCCACTTGGTCCACGGCCCCCGGGACCGCCGCCGAATCCAGGCGCGCCAGCACTTCCACCATAACCGCCTTGACCACCGGCTCCACCAGTTCCACGACCTCCAGATCCACCGCCGAAGCCAGGTGCACCCCCTCCGGTTCCGGGTCTTCCAGCACCACCACCGAAACCAGGTGCACCACCAGCACCGGGGCCACCACCATAGCCTCCAGCTCCCGAACCACCCGCTCCGCTACCACGACCACCAGTACCGCCTCCGAAACCGGGAGCACCACCAGCACCAGATCCTCCAGGACCCCGACCACCAGCTCCACCACCAAAACCAGCAGCTCCTCCAGCTCCAGGACCACCTGCCCCGCCGGGGCCATAGTTATATCCACCTCCGCCTGCACCTCCAGCCCCACGACCACCACCTGCACCACCACCTGCTCCTCCGCCGAATCCGCCTGCTCCTGGTCCGCCGGGTCCACGACCACCTGCACCACCAGCACCACCTCCAAAACCTGGAGCTGAGCCTGCACCGGGACTACCACCAAAGCCTGGTGCCCCACCCGCTCCTGGACCGCCTCCGTATCCCGGTGCTCCTCCTGTTCCACGACCACCAGCTCCACCACCAAAACCTGGGGCACCACCAGCTCCGGGACCACCACCATAACCTGGCGCGCCTCCTGGCCCACGACCGCCAGCACCACCACCATATCCTGAACCACCTCCGGTACCAGAACCGCCACCAAAACCTGGAGCTCCACCAGTTCCTGCACCGCCAGCTCCGGATCCGCCACCATATCCACCTGAGAAGTAGAGAGAAGAAATAATTCAATTCAATATTAATATTTTTTTTTGCTTTTTCCAATAACGTACCACCAGTACCACCACGTCCGGCACCACCATAGCCACCAGCTCCTGCTCCACCACCTGCGCCGCCATATACTATTAAGTACACCATAGGGATTAATTAGTTAACAACTTTAAAAGCAATTTGAAAGTAATTAAGAGGAAATAAGCATCAAAAATTATCAATTAATTTGATTTCAATTTTTATATCACACTTAAAAATTGACAGGTAACTCACCACCAGCTCCAGTACCAGGTCCGCCGGTGTAGCCACCGCCAGGTGCTACTGAGATACCCTGCGCTGCCAAAGACTTAGCAATTTCATCAGGAATTGGGGGTGGGGTTGGCAGGGCATCTCCAGATGGTTGAAAGCCGTTCTCATCAGCAATATATGAAATTTCAACAAGTTGACCCTCCGGATTTGTGTACGAATACGTGCCCATTACAGAGGCAATTTCATTTTCTGAGCCCTTATTTTTAATTGTGCCCTCTTCTTCTGCCTTAATGCCATTACCGGTTTCATAACTAAAGCGATAATTACCGTCGCCATCATTTTCGTTTACGTACGACAGTATTGGTATTGGTGGGCCGGAAGGTTGTGCAGGCCCCGAGGGACCAGGACGACCGCCACCACCAAAACCACCACCGGGCGAGCTACCGCCACTAAATCCACCGGGAGCACCACCACCGCCTATGGGCCGACTAGGACCGCCGGCGCCTGAAAAACCGCCAAGTCCAAAATTACTACCGCCAGGACCTTGCAGGCCCGGACCGCCACCCGCACTGGCTGCACTTGCCGGTGGTGGCAGGTATTTGTTGTCCAACCGTGCGCTTTGCGCTACAGCTAATAGCGTTATGAAGAGTTGCTGAAATCGGAGAAGCAAGTATGTATGTATTTACGTGCATATATACAAACTTAAATAAAAAACTAAAAACAAAATATTATCGTCGTATAATATTGAGGACTTTCTGTAAAATATTACTCTAATAATTATTTTAATTAGTTTTATGTTAGTTATGTCATTGTTCCAAAAATTATCGATAAGGTATCTAAAATAATTGTATTTCTAAATCAACGGAAGCCTTTTTATTAGACTGATACTGAATGGGAGGATACGGCCCGTAGCATAACAATGTTTTTCTCGGTGCACTTAATCCTGTCGTGAAAAAATTCAAAAATAGCGACAACCGTTCTTACGCTAAAAAGTCTGTGGAAAACAGAATATTCTTACACACAGAATATCTTCTCACATTTCTTAAAAGAAAATATATTCAAAACGTGAAAAATTAAGTGATCAGTAACATCTTTTTAGTCAGCAACAATAGCAGGCCAATCAACGTCGTCAGCGACACTTCGATGATCATTAGCAACAAAGTGAAGGGAATCGCCGCGCACCCAAATGCGAAAAATATAAAATTAAATAAAATCAAACATAGCGGTTTGAAGACACTACAACAACAAAATATACATAAAGACTTTCATGTAAGATTAATAATAAGTCTCGCATATATGTTTTCGCCAGATTTGTTGCTGTTCGCCTAGTAGGTCAGCCAGCAATGAGTGTGAACTGTAAGCTACTGCCTGCAATATTGCTAAATAAAATATAGTGGCTAACTAAAATAAAAAAAATATATATGCAACAACCAAACTAGTAATAGTAACAATAACAATAACAAACTAAACGCTTAGTTTGTTGGTGGCATCTTCACACTAGAGTTAGTTTCACAGCAACACTCCTATTTTTAGCGAATATTGCATGCACATATCCATTTGAGTGTGTGTGTATGTGCATGTCTCCATATGCATATGCCTGCACCGAACTTATAGCAATTCGATCGACCGATTCAAATAATTGACAATTTCAACTTAAAATGGGAGGTAGGTCAGTAACAGCAACAAAAGCGGCGCTGCAACAATTCCACAACCAAAGTCAATACTAGCGATGCAACATGGCAAAATCAGGCAGTGTTAATATACAATATATATGTATGTATATATATGCAACTATGAATGAATGAACGCCTAACTGCGACACGTTGCGCCGCTGCTTGCCGCGCGCTCCACCGGCAGTCGCCAGGTTGCGTATACGGGTGGCGATTGTCTGCATGAGAAATGAGTTTGGTGTTGTGGCTGGGATTACGGTTATTTTGTTTATTTTTTTTGTGTATGGAAAACATGCTGTGGAATTTCTTCTTTGTCGCTTTTTTGCGGTTTTTGTTTTTGTAATAGTCATTTCATGCATCTTCTCACGTTTTTGATTTACTTATGGTAGATGCGCCGTTTTTATTGCAACTGTGCTTTGCGGCATCATAAACTTAAAATTTTATGCCAAGATCTTTTGCCAAAGATTTATGTTTGGATGCGCTGCTAGTAACTAAGTGCTTCCCCTGACTGCTGGCACTTGGTTGTTATTGTTGTTGCCACAAATAGTTTTGCTTTATGTGTGTTCATTCGATATTCTTCGCGATAACTTTAGTTATTTGATGTTTTTTTCGTATTTGAGTTTTTATATATTGTTTTTTTTTTTTGTATTTTTGTGTGCCACATTGAGGCACCTTCTAAAGCGTTCTTTGACATTTATTGCTCAGCGCCAGCTAACTTTTAGCCCCTCTCTCTCTCTCTCTTTCTCTCTTTGTCACTCACAGACATATGTTTGTTTCTTTTGTTTGCCAAGTTTATTTTACAACTGCGCCAGAGTCATCATTCAAAAGCTCAACCATGGTGGAACCAACAACAAGAAAATGACTGCATGCACCACACATCTATATATGTATTTATGTATATCTCTCTTGGTTGCATGATTGGCTGAAATTACTTCTACATCTTTTCTACATTTCACGTTGGCTGCTCACCACGAACACGCTGCAGAAAATTATGATAAGTAAATGTGCTCACATATATGTACGTATGTGTGTGTGTTCACACTTTGCCGCAGATAAACGGTTACCACGTGGTTTTATTTAAACGCAACTTAAGTTATCTTTAATAGTAAATGTTAAGTGGCATTTATGTGGTTTTGGAGTGTCAAGTTGAAGTTTGTTTTAGAGTGTACAGAGAAGGGAAGGGAAAAAAGATGTCAAAACGTTTTTGTTTTTTTGATTTTTTCAGTTCGAGTTGCTGGCTACATTAGTGAGAATTATTATTATTATTTTTTTACAATGAGTTGAGAGTGTTATGGAGTACACACATTTAAATTTTACTGTTATTATTCCGACTCACGTAATTAGCTGTATAAATTATGTTAAGTACAACACTAAAGGCAAAAACACTACATCTTATTTGCGAGTATTTTACGCAGAAAAATATTAAATAATTTTTATTTAGTCATGCTCTGGAAGGACTGGATAGAAGAAGCAATTACAAGAGCACGCGGCTTATCACCCGGGCAAAATGGTTTCAGACCTAGCATATCAATAGTGGTGGCAATTGATGTCTGTCATGAGGAGTGTGGGAGGAACGCACAGAGGATACAACAAACTCAGGCAAGTTGCCTAACTCGTTACCCTGGATGTACGGAATGGCTCAGTGCTCAATAGCATAACATAGCTGAAATATTAAAAGAAATATTTAAAATACCTACTTATTTCAGCCTAATGGTGACAAGCTTCTTGAAAGACAGAAGCTAGATGTAGAAAACCTCTTAAGAACCACCAACCTTAAAGGTCACGTCAGGAGCTGTGCAGGGATCAATCCTTGATTCAGCCCTTTTGAACGTCTCTTTTCACGGTATATTAACCCTCGATAAACACCACACGAGACACTGAAGATGCGCGGAGGAAGCTAAACTAGGTGATAATTAGAACACATATATAGCTTCACACGCGAGGCCGGCGACGGTTCCCTAGAGAAGTTTTTAGTGACCTGAAGTGCTTTGATGACACAATGATGATGCGAAAATATTTTTTCTCATTCTTTTCTTAGTCACAAGAAGTTTTAAATTTACGTTTCTTTACACCTTATAATCACTTACATTTAAATGCTTGAGTTGCCTACTGGTCGGGCCTACTTAACGGGAGCGGACCCGGAATTGTTCGACAACAGACCATAAAGATATTTGGGGAATGTGTTCTACCGATACAACAACAACAATAGTAATATTGTGCTGTATTTGCAGGTACAGCGTTGTTATTATACGATATATACAGTCTACAGATCAATATATTTTTTTGTTACTAAGTGAAGGTTCTGAATATGAATAATGTTTCAATCCATTTAGTGACGTAATTATTATTGGCCTCAAGGGCCATCCCTGCAACTTCCCTCTAATTTCATACGCTAACATTCAAATTTCGCTTTTTTCACTGCTTTTGAGCACTTCGAAATTTTTCGTTTTCGATATCTAGCAAGTAAATCAACCGATTTCGACCCGGTTTGCGGCAAACGATGTGTTTCTTCAAGGTTTAGAACTGATTAGTTTTTGGTGTCGATCGGTCAAGTCGTTTTTTTGTTAGCGTATGAAATTAGAGGGAAGTTGCAGGGATGGCCCTTGAGGCCAATAATAATTACGTCACTAAATGGATTGAAACATTATTCTATTCAGAACCTTCACTTAGTAACAAAAATATATTGATCTGTAGACTGTATATATCGTATAATAACAACGCTGTACCTGCAAATACAGCACAATATTACTATTGTTGTTGTTGTATCGGTAGAACACATTCCCCAAATATCTTATGGTCTGTTGTCGAACAATTCCGGGTCCGCTCCCGTTAAGTAGCCCGACCAGTAGGCAACTCAAGCATTTAAATGTAAGTGATTATAAGGTGTAAAGAAACGTAAATTTAAAACTTCTTGTGACTAAGAAAGAATGAGAAAAATTTTCGCATCACATTGTGTCATCAAAGCACTTCAGGTCACTAAAAACTTCTCTAGGGAACCGTCGCCGGCCTCGCGTGTGAAGCTATATATGTGTTCTAATTATCACCTAGTTTAGCTCCTCCGCGCATCTTCAGTGTCTCGTGTGGTGTTTATCGAGGGTTAATATACGTGAAAGAGAGTTCAAAAGGGCTGAATCAAGGATTGATCCCTGCACAGCTCCTGCGTGACCTTTAAGGTTGGGTTCTTAAGAGGTTTTCTACATCTAGCTTCTGTCTCAAAGCTTGTCACCATTAGGCTGAAATAAGTAGTATTTTAAATATTCTTTTATAATTTCAGCTATGTTATGCTATTGAGCACTGAGCCATTCCGTACATCCAGGGTAACGAGTTAGGCAACTTGCCTGAGTTTGTTGTATCCTCTGTGCGTCCTCTCCACACTCCTCATGACAGACATCAATTGCCACCACTATTGATATGCTAGGTCTGAAACCATTTTGCCCGGGTGATAAGCCGCGTGCTCTTGTAATTGCTTCTTCTATCCAGTCCTTCCAGAGCATGACTAAATAAAATTATTTAATATTTTCTGCGTAAAATACTCGCAAATAAGATGTAGTGTTTTGCCTTTAGTGTTGTACTTAACATAATTTATACAGCTAATTACGTGAGTCGAATAATAACAGTAAAATTTAAATGTGTGTACTCATAACACTCTCAACTCATTGTAAAAATAATAATAATAATTCTCACTAATGTAGCCAGCAACTCGAACTGAAAATCAAAAACAAAACGTTTTGACATCTTTTTCCCTTCCTTCTCTGTACACTCTAAAACAAACTTCAACTTGACACTCCAAAACCACATAAATGCCACTTAACATTTACTATTAAAGATAACTTAAGTTGCGTTTAAATAAAACCACGTGGTAACCGTTTATCTGCGGCAAAGTGTGAACACACACATACGTACATATATGTGAGCACATTTACTTATCATAATTTTCTGCAGCGTGTTCGTGGTGAGCAGCCAACGTGAAATGTAGAAAAGA